CACACACACACACACACACACACACACACACACACACAGCTCCACCCCATCCTCTAGTTTCAACTCCACCCCCTTCCGCTCTCTCTACAGTTTAATAAGGACGCGAACGCTAGACAAGTCTCAGATCAAGTTCCAACCCGAAAGACCGTGAAGAAAAAAAATGTACCGACCGCTCCGACAGTCTTCTCTCGCTGCGTTCTGGGGGGTAAGTCCCGATGGTCCGCCCTCACCCCTCCGAGCCTCTACGCCTCCGACTGCTTCGTGGGTTATCAGCCTTCATCACCGCAACTGGCTACAACTCCAACCAGCTCACAGCTCGCAGTTGTCCGAGAAGAACATCTTCAGCTTCCACTACTCACCGCTGAAGATCTCCAGATGTTGGAGCGGGATGCAGAGGCTGATCATTTCCAATGCGTCTGCAGTGAATCGTTATCTGAGGACATCATGAGATGGCTCAGCTCGGCGACACCTCATCTACCTCCAAACACTGCTGAGGATTTGGACGCAACTCCGGAAATGTCGCTGCTGGATGTCGAGCCTCAAACAGCCTATCACAGCGTGATTGCAGAGTCGGGAATGGAATCGCTTCATCCCTGGCCTGCAGAGGGCCCTGAAGCCAAGGACTCGCTTCATCCAACAAGGCCTGAGGGGGCCTTGAAGCCAGGGACTCGCTTCATCCAACATGGCCTGAGGGGGGGCCTGAAACCGGGGACTCGCTTCACTCAGCCAGGCCTGCAGAGGCCCGTCACGCTGCCTTGGAGCCTGAAAAGGCCTCACTTCCTGCAGCTTCATCAACGCGGGAACCATGGAGCAGCACCACTTCCTGTGGCGATTGGCTGGATCCAGAGGTGATTAGAACAGCTAAGATGGCCATCCTTCATCTGCTGAACATGACTCTGGACTCTTACTTTCGGGAGATATGTAACGGCTGCATCATAAATCACCCCAGCCAGTTACAACATCTGTGTATAACGGTACATGACGAGAACGCATTTTTCGGAGCTCATAATGAAGAAATCATGAACCGAGTCACGAAAGAATGGTTCATATCCACCGTCCAGCTGATTCTTATATCACGTGGTTTAACAGTGGATGACTACACGGTAAAAGTCATCACACAAACGTTATTATTTCAACTCAGATTCGTGCAGAATGTTTTTGAAACAATTTACACTTTGCATGAATCCACGTCAGACTGAAGTGAAAAGTCTAGAACCATTCACAAACTTTTACAAAACTGTGTAGAATAATCTTTTTGTTTTCAGTTGTTTTTTTTTTGTTTGTTTTTTTAGTGTGGTTTGAAATAGTTGTTTTTAATGTAGCGTGATTAGAAACTGTAGTTTTTATATTACAAAAAAGGTTTGTTTTTCATGATCAGCTGATTGTATTTTCATTAGTAATGTTTTTTCACGACCAGCTGAATGTAGGTTTTTATCCTAATGTTTTTTTATGACCAGATGAAAAAAGTATTAAAAATTTACCTCTTAGTGTTTTCAAAATAGTTTGTAACAGAGATTACTGCTTCTTCTTTAAATGTGTAACTGAAAAGTTTAAAAAATCTATCCTAGTGTTTTCAAAATAGTTTGTAACAAAAACTGAAAAAAGCTTACAGAGATTACTGTTTCTTCTTTAAATGTGTAACTGAAAAGTATTAAAAATCTATCCTAGTGTTTTCAAAATAGTTTTCAAATTTAATCAACAAGTTGTAACAAAGCTTATAACGTTTTGTTG